GATTTCTCATAAAACCGCAACTTACCACCCCACCTCCCAACGTAACATTTTTTTCTTGGACTGATGAGCACAACACCGTATATTTAGCCAGCGCTGTAATTAGCAAAGTTTTAGCCGCAGCACTTAAGCGCAGTTTCTGTTTTCTCCTCAACGGCTTCAGTTGCAGTCAATCATATTTTTATTGAAAAAGTTTCAACATTGTCCAGCCAGTCCCAGTCCCGCTAGTTCTGAACGATGAACCACAAGCGGCAAATAGTGAACGTTAAGCTAAGTATAAGTTGTACGTTTGTAGATGCGGGCAATGAGCTTCCATAAGCAATGTATACGAAACTAGAAAACCGCAGAAAAGTTATGGCACGTATCATGAACATTATATCTACTAACGGAATACAGGGATTGTGAATGCAGTCAAGTGGCGAACCTGAAATTTCACTTTAACCCAGCCAACTAACTTGCCAGCCCAGCAGTTTTGTGTAAAAAAGGCTAAGTGATATCAAAGCAGTTACCAATGCTCGCCACGCCACAAGGCCTTATCTGTGTCTAGTCAACGAAAAAGAAAGCCAGCGACTCGCTACACGATAAAAAGGGGAGTAATAACTTATTTTCACTTGCTTTCCCATATGTATTTATGTGTTTTTTTTTTCTTTTTTTGCATTTATACATATATTTCCGTCAGAAAATCAACTAGTTGCATTCGAGGCAATCTAATAATAATTATTTTTTTTTTTTTTGTAACTGCAATTGGTTGAAATTTGTTTTCCTGTAAGCAACTCACTTTTTAAATGCATTTGGCTTAGGGAACTTCATAATCAGTGGCCAAAATGATAAACTAATTGAAGAGGTGGTCATTCGCCCGCAACAAAGTAATCATTTTCCAAATACTTTTTCATTTGGTTAATTCTTCAGACTGTCTGCTTTATTCCGACATTTGTGCATGTGGCTATAGACAGAGTTTAATTCTGTATTTGATAAAAAAAAATTAAGTTTGCTTAAGCCGGCTACTCGTGCTGAGGGGATAGTTTGCTGCCTCGCTACGACGGAATCATCTTCATGATACTGGGAACTACCTTTTTCAAGGAATTTGGTTTGCCAAATTTTATTTGCTAACCACTACCAAATCACTCTGCAAGTTTGTTACTAAAATTCTTCTGGCGAGCATTTCCTTTTCCAAAATAATTAATTTTCTACCGCGTGAACCACGTAAAACACCTTTCTTTTATAAGACTTTAGCTATACACTTATGGAATCTACATAATTTTTAGGGTTTGTATATACACAACAACGATCGGGTGTTCCAACAAGAGCGTCGGATTTAAATTTGCCAACATTTTGTTAATACAAGTTGTACGGTGATTTTTTTTTACAGTTGTCAAGTATAGACCACGAGATTGAAGAATATGGAGAAGTATTCAAACAAACAACGTTTAATATTGTAAAAACACATTATAAAAAGTTCACTAATTACATATCTAAAATTTTCGGGCGCAATAATGCGCCAAATGAATCAACAGTGAGGCGTTAAATTACAAAATTTGAGACCGATTTGATGAATCAGAAGACCATTGTTCCTCGTCGTGCTGCTCGGTCACTCCAAAATATAGCCACAGTAAGAGAATCTGTGATCGAGAATTCACGAACTTCCATTCGGCATCATGGTCAAGAATTAAATATTTCCAGAAGCACTATGCAACGAATTTTGGTAAAAGATCTGCATTTGTACGCGCACAAGATTCAGTCGAGGCAAAAAATCAAGCCAAGGGACAATCTCCAGCAAAACGTAACCTTCGTTATCCAATGTCCAATCCAGCCCAAGAATGATAGAATACAAGATTGCGCCGTTCAGAGAGGATTTTTGAGAATAACTTTTGTGTGACGTCACACTGGTGCAATTGCGAGAGAGAAATGCCAAAACGTGAGCAAGAATGGAAGAAGAAGAAAAAATGTTGCAAGGAAAACGTAAACAAGTTGCACCAGTGTGACGTCATGCAAACAACGATTCTGTCAAATTTGTTAAGAGAGGAATAGCGGTCCGAGATCGGCGCAACCTTTGTATTCTCTCAATCGTGAATCCAGCCCATTATCGAATTGAAATTTTACTGGACTTCACTTTTTCTCTTGTTACTATATTTTTCATTTTTTTTTTGTCGAACCCTTCCCGAGTGCATTTCCAATATACTATGAACGTGGGAACCAACTAAGGTTGGTTATGAGTTCGTTCACAGTTCGATATGCATATTGAACGTCGAATTATACTTTCGAACATTCGCCACAATGTTTACTGGGATTTTAAAATGATTGCAAACGTCAGAAAAAATTCATGGCCGACGAATTGAGAGAATTGGGTGGTTCACAAGGTGTCGTACTTGTCGTATTGTTGTATGTTGTAAAAATTTTAACGGCTAAATAAATGTTTAGAGGATTTGAAATCACCACCAACTATTTTTTAATTGTGTGAAATTTCATAATAAAAGTTTTATGTTAGCTTGCGAATTCCTTAAATATAGTTTTGCCATTTAAAGTTTATGACATACAACAGTACGACAGTATACAACACCTTGTGAACTCCCTAAATGATTTTACCTTGTAATACCGTTCTCTCAGTTCGTCTGCGATGATATTTTTTAAGTTTCACAGCAATTTTAAAATCATACAACGTTAATAAAACATCGAAATGGTTAAAAAATGTTGTTTAAGACTGAAAATGTCAATGCGGAAAGTTAAAACCATGATACAAAAAGTTCAATGTAAAATCGTTGTCAATTTAAAATTATATTGTTTGCAAACGTCAAAAATGCTAAAAATTTCTCTCAGCAGTTCTACCTTAATATATTTTTATCATGATATATATTATCCACATAAAATTTACATGCATGTCTGTATACATATAATAGAAAAAGATTCTTTTTGAAGGTGAAAATTCTTTCTAAACTGTTGTCAAAAAATGTGTGTATGAAGGGACGATATGTCATCTACGCCACTGATCTCCAGCTAGCTATTTGTTCCGGCCGAATGTGTGTCCTCTCTCAACTGGCGAAACGGCCTTAAATAAAAAATATTTATTGGGCGCAATTCAGTTGCTGACGATTGGTTTCCTAATTTTTGAGTCCTGAGCTCATTTATTGAGAACCGAAAAATGCCAGTTGAGGCAGTTACGGTCTCCAAGTAACCGTCCATCGAATTTCCTTCTACACTTAGGGCCAGTTTTTCAGTGCACGGCCGTAGTTTAAACTCAGTTTAAACGCCCGATATGGCTGGTTTCAACTAAGATTAGCCAATCAAATGTCAGCCAGCTGTTCAATTTAAACTCAGTTTACTTAATCTTTAAACTTAGAAACTGGCACTGAAAAACTGACCCTTAGAAGCTTCAAGCGGGTTTCATTAAATGGCATTCTTCATTGTTAGCTCTGTTGGATGTCGAAAACAACTACATATATATGGATTTAATTGTTTAACTCTCTTGAAAAGTCAAAATCACATTTCAAATGGTTTTTTGTTCATTTATTTATTTCGTTTTTTACTTTTATTCAACACTTTCAAATTATTATATAATATAAATCTTGTTATTTCAATAAAATTAAATATACATATTTTTAATGCTTAAACACCCATACATATGTATACAAATGTGTGTGTATTCGCATACCACACTAATGTATGCTGTAAATAACTATATTGCTGGACATTTAATACAAAAATGAAGTGAAACATTACTCAGTTTTGAATCAAAAGCAGAGACACAAAGAAACACAAACGCATCTTTTAAAAGGCAGTGTTTAAATACATATGTATGAATGCATACATACATATAAGTGTAAATATGTAAATACATATGTATGTACGTATGTATGTAAACATCTGTTCATCACAAAAGGTATTAAAACTCTTATTTAAACCATTCGGCAAAAGGAAAAATGATCATGTTTATGCATGTTTATTCCATGAAAACATTAAAATATGTATGCTTACATAAAGTAAGAGTAATATTACAGTAAATTTTAGTTATGTATTACTTGCCGATTTTCGTTACTCACGCTTGTGAGTCCTGATGAAGATGGCGACTGCCTAATCATTATATGTTCACTTTGTTCTCAATTGTATCCTCTTTTTTATTTTATTGCCGTTTACTTTATGTTAGTTTGCTCAAAAGTTTATTGCGATTTCTTTCTTATTTAACTTCAATTTTACTTATTTAAATCTAGACACTCAACTTTTCCATTTTTTATATAATTATAGCACTTTTTTATTAATTTTGCTTATTTTCCGTTTTCTTTTATCCCATTTCATTAAATATTTTATTATCTACGGTATGTCTTTGTGATGTATGTATGTATTTACTACGCTAAAATTCAACAACAAACGAAATTGCAGTTTTTTTATTTTGCGTTGTGTTCCTTTGGTTTATTATTTCACATTTTCGGGAGTTACACTTACCGTATTCGTGCAAACAAAAACAAGAAAAATTCATAAATATAAAATGGCATGAGTTGTCTTGAAGTCCACACTTAGAGGTTTACCTTGAAAACACCTTACTTAATGCTAACCGTTAAATGTAACAATTTTTTTGCCTTCAATTTTTCGTATGGTATGACCGGCTATTTATTTTAATCAATGAATTTTTATTTTATGTAGATTTCATAACTTTAAGGTACCTTATGTCAAATGTACAGTTTGATTTGATCAGTACTTTGCATCACTTAAACTCGTATGTAAATATTTATACATACATATTTCGTATGAACGCTCGAAAGTAAATACTATATATTTTGATAATTCTAAAACTGGGCATTTTAAAATAACCTAAAATAAAATTGGCGCTGGCAAGTAGATAAAAACTTCTTCGAAGGATGGACATAAAATGTGGACGGTAAAAAGTAGAAAACTACTATTGAATGGTAAAACGCAAAAATAAAACACTGTACAATAAAAAGTGGGCATTCGTGCGCTAGCGGGTAAATTAACCCTTGTGCTTGTCCACTTTTCACAATTCAATTGTCGTTATATCTGTCTTTTACCAGTCCATAATTAATATACTTTAAAGATTTAGTCCATACTTTCATGCCAATTTTATTAGTCAAGTTTTAAATTGTTTTTTTTTTTTTTGGAATGACCAAAAATATACATATACCAAATTTTTAAATTACCAATTATTTACGTTTTCAAACACCCAAATATTTTTATTTAAAAGTTTGAAGTTATGGAATAATTATGTCCAATTTTTAAATTACCAAAAATTAATCTTCAGTTTTTACTTTTACGCGTTCGTCATTTGTATGTATATACATATGTAAATATAACTAAGTATGTACATATTTATGTATGCATGCTTTTGAATGAGTGTCTGCTGCAGAAGATTGCATTACAAAAGTCGATTCTAATTTTAATAAAATATTGAAAGATTAGCACATCAGATAATTAAAAACAAAGAAACAACCTAAGGCCCTAAGGAATTCTGCATCGATGTGAAAAAGGTATATAGTTTGTAATGCCTACAATTAACTTTTAGTTATGTATGTAGGCCTTTACAGCATTCAACTTGGTAGAACATTTTTTATTTCGTTTAAGTTTAGTAATTTTCACTCACTTTATTTATTTTTAGCAATTTAGAATTTCACTAGTAATCTACATTGAAGCGAATTTTCTTTGCCGCTTAGTTATGCTTTTTTTACGTTATATTGTATTGTATTATTTGATAATTATTTACAGCTTTACTTACTTAGGAGTAAATATACATACATACATTCCAATTTGTCTAAAATTTTTCATTCGATTACAAAAAAGGGCTGGTTTACCTCAAGTAGAAAATTTAAACCAAGCATATTCCAAAAATATACATACAATACGAAAACAATTCTAAATTCATTATCATAACATACCTATAGTAAGTATAGTTGAGTTTAGTGCGGATTTGTTGAGTCTGCATTCGATTTTTTCTCAAATATCCTTCTCACCGACTACACGCTCACGCTCAGTAATAGACAAGCCCTTGGAATCTGTGAAGAGGCTTTCAACTGAGGTACACTCACCTGATATCCGGTTCGAATTTTTGTCTATTGAACTGCACACTGCATATTTTGTTAACAATACTGCTGAATTTAGGCTGTTTCAATTTGAAGCGAAGCTCGCCGTGATGACCCGTTTTAAAAATTACTCTCCGATATCCGACTTTATGGCGAGTGCCCTTATGTTTTACGAATGCATGTTGTTGTTGTTGTAGGAGCGCATTCCTGCTGAGCTGAACATCGTTGCCGGAGCAGACGCAATTCTTGTTGGTATATGTGCCGCACTTTCGTCGAATCGCTTGTCGCTTGCCAAAAAGCTCGGTTGCCAGCAACACGAGTACGCTCAAAGCACGCGCAACTAAATGCCTCATATTTTTGCTTGTTTGGTGACAGGTGCTACCAATAGCTGCATATACCACCTGACATACGCTAAGGTGCACAAGTACATTGACAGGTACACTAGGAGATAATGGCCTTGGGACATTCGATGATGCACTAGTCCCGCGCGCTGCATTGCTGCTGGGAACTCCCCTGGAAACCGAATGAGAAACACCTGTTTAATTTACATCTTTTTTGCTGTCCTTTAACACCATCGTCAATTATCAACAATGCTATACACAACAAACTGAGATATACATACATACATACATATAAAAGAGTTGGTAATTACTAAACCACAGCGAGAAAGCTTACTTCGAAAGGGTTTTGGCATCATGCAAATTTCCACCCTATCCACTATGCTAACGACGGCTAAAATCAAGTTTGCTACATAACTTCTTATTTATTTATACATATATGCATACGTATGTCGTTTGTCTAATTTTCAAACCCGAATGAATTAAATTTCAGTTACAGTAAAATTTTAAATTTCGATTTAGTGATTTTTCATCAGCTTAAAAAGAACCATATTTATCAAAATATCTTTTCAACGACATATTGTACTTTAAAAACGGACCATAAATAAAAAAAAAATTACAAAAATATATAATCAGCCTCATTGCGTAAATCGTAAATTAGGCGAAATAAGTATACGACGAAAATTGTCGAAAACTATCCAGTGCCGCCAAGTTTTTCCGTTTTAGCCACTAGTCGAGTCGGAAAATTAAACAATGACATGTAATTTTCGATACGACTCGACTCTCGAATCACGACTTTCACTCGACACGACACTCGCAATGAGGCTGAATATCAGCTGTTTTAGGGAACGTACACACTAGGAATGTTAGTCCCGAGATCCCGGCTTTTTTAAGGTCCCGAAAATCCCGGCATTGTAATTTGTAATTTGCATTGATGGCAATAAAAGAAACTCCTTTTCTTGACCATTATTGGTCAATATTTCTTTATTTATTTAATAATTAATATTTTTTATAAATGTCTAGCTCATTATACATATAACACCGTGCGATAGTAAATTTTAAACATAAATATCAATATATTCGCGAAACCATGGGCCAAATATAGTAAAATTGCGTTTTTAGTTTTTCACCATGACGTCAGTAATTCAAAAATGATTTAAAAGTTCAGAGAAATGTGCTTAGAGAAGAAGTATGGGTGTCAAGGTAAAGAAGAAATCCTGTAAAATTTAAGCGAATTCAAGTTTTTGGTGCAGCAGGACTGGTAAGTATTGAACTTTCCTTTTAAAATTTTATTTTTGAAATGTCGCAATAATTGCTTTTGAAAAAAATATATGGTTAGGACTTATATAAACTCGATAACATCCTCGAATTTCGTCCTTCTAACTTTATCAGCTTAAAAAATTACCTATTCGCCCTTGTGAATCCAAAAGATTTTTTAATTTTTTTAAATTCTAAAGAAATTTCCTCTTGAATTTGGTACCCATATTTTTATTCTACATTGCATTGAATATTTTAAATAATTTTCAGAATCAATCATATCTTTGAAATTACAAAGCCCTTTAAAATAAAGCAATTTTTTCGATTTAAGTTGTTGAAAAGTAATGAATATCTAAATCTCGGGATCCCGGGATTGTGATAATGACACCCCAAAGATCTCGGGATCGAAAAAGGCTGAAAAATTAACATCCCTAGTGCACACAGAAAACCGAGCGGTGCCGAGCAAAGCGAAGCTGCAGGTGTTCACACTGAATGATTGGCTGCAAAGATACCAAAAAACTTACCTCCCGTAAAAAGCGGCTAATATATTTGTTAGACTTTTGGAGGAAACATTTTTAATTAATTATTTTGATTTAAGCTTTACTTCGCAGCAGCATCATGAAGCTGAAAAGTTAAATAGAAAAATCAAAATCAAAAACTGCGATACATGTACGCAGTGAGAGCTCGTTTCGGCGCTCCCTTACCTTACGAAGCACGAACAAAAAATGGCTAGAAAAGGAAGCCACTTTGCAAAATAGTAACAAATTTAGTGCTCTTTTTTTTGTACCAATGTTTGTAAAAAACATAAATTTTTTAAAATTTTTTATGAAAGAGTTATATGAATATAAGCTAAGTGATATATTTTGCGGAACATTTTTAAAATAAGTATTTACTTAGTTTGATCACAAGCTTTTTTTACAGTTCGATATCATAAAGGTTATTGATATAAGTTACATGCTGGATAATATATGTATACGTGTGCAACCTTTCTGAAAATGCGAATATCATTTTTCATACAATGTCTTGAAAAGGGATCTTAAGATGGCGATTAGAGTGAGATGAACGCGAACATATAATGCCTTTCTGTATTGCATCATTATCTAAAAGCTGATTTGCTTTCAGTTCCCATATTCTTCTGTAAATGCTTTCTGAATGAACACTTTCATATATGTAGATGCAGCAATTTGAAAGTTTCGCTCCGCCAAGAACGCTTTATTTCGGCTCGCTCCCGCTTCCTGTGTATACGTACCCGTAGTCACAGGTGTTGGAATAATTGCAAACCTCTTTCTTGTATGAGCACCGACCCTGTCTAATACTCATTCACCTACAGCAACAACTGTACATTTGTTTAAGATTTTCATTGCCAAACTCGCACCTACCCACGCACATATGTACATTGTATTGTTAGTGTTTTATACTTACCATTTAATACATGAACAGTTACACTCTTAGGTTTCGCATTTGATGGATTGCACTGGTAGTGTCCGGAATCCGAGGGCCGCGCCGTTTTTATGAGAAGAAACGAAGTCGTAGTCTCTCCTTTATTGGTTACAACCGAAACGCCACCCCGTGGAGAGTCGTAGTTAATTATCTAAAACCGTTAAACAAGAAATACTCGATTACTTGACTTGTATTGTCATTGATTAATGAAGGGAAATCGGGTGTAAAAAATCTTGAAAACCTTGAAAGTTTGACACACAACAATTAGTAACAAACAGTAATTATGGATTGAATATTAAAACTCACAGCGTTGTTGTGATTCCAAAATATATAAGCAGGAGGTTCCGGTGAATTCAAAATGACGCAGGTCAAGTTTATTGTTGAACCACTCTCAATGTACAAATCGGGCGCACCGATTATCTCCGTTGACGGTTCTTAAAATGATAGTAGACAAAAGAAATCCAACTATACAAATACATACATAAACACTATTCATATGGATAGTTGAAGTCTTATGCATTTACATACATAAATAAGAACCATACAGGCTATTTAACCTAAAGTTCCACATACCACGTATGTATGTATATTAGGGTGGTCCAAAAACAGTAAAGTCGGAATTCGTATGCTCTGACCCCCTCAAAGTTGCCCATGAATTTTTATATAGGGAAAAAAAACTTTTCGTAGAAATGGTATAGAATTCCTGAAAATAAATATTTTTCGATCGGAAAACTCTTGTTCTCTTCAGGAGACTCTCAGTAATAATATCCAATTGCTTATTTAATCCTTTTTTTAATACTAACGATTTCGGTTAAATAAACAATTGGGTATTATATTGGGAATCTCTCGCACATAAACAGAGTTTTCCGATAGAAAAATATTGATTTTTAAGAACTCTATACCATTTCTAAGAACAGTTGTTTTTCCACCATATAAAATACATGAAAAACTTTGGGCTAAATACTTTTCGATTTCAAAATAAAAATTAGGGGTATATTTTTTTCGGTATAGAACAATCCTAGGGGGTGAGAGCATACAAATTCCGACTTTACTTTTTCACGTGCGTTTTTGGACGACCCTAATGTATATACTTACCAACAACATTTAGGTGAATGTAATGACTCATGTGCGGAGTGGTCGATACTTGGCACTCGTATATGCCAGAATCTCGGTGTTGGGGGTATTTTATTTGCAATATCCAGTCTTCGGTTTGTGGTTGATGTATTGCACGGAAGCGCTGATCAGATGTATATGTATATCGTCCCACAGTTAGCAAATGGATGTCTCTATGCCGCACCCAAGAGACTTGCAAAAGCATCTGGAATATTGAATTATCACAAGACATAATCAACAGATTACATTAGTCGTTTTGCTTCGAAAAAATATGGCTAAGGATCTTAGGATTATTAAAAGTAATTTATTATTTTTTTCAATATCCCTATTGTATTTCAGCCATATAGAAAAAAAACAAAAAATGCAGTCAACACATTGAGACAACTCAGTTAAACGATAAGCGACCTGAAAACTGTGCATGGTAGGCCCTGGAGGAGTACATTTTGCTAACTAAAAATTATTCGTTTTAGCTACATACAAAAACACTCATTTGAAATGGCTTCAGTTTCCGAACAACATCAACAAACAAAACCAAAAAGTTTTTCCTAATAGCGGTCGCCTCTCGGCAGGCTATGTCCTACCTAATTTATTAATTGATTAAAATATTGATGTTGCTTACTTCTATTTTGGCCAATTTATTTTTCAAAGATTTTATTTTAGGAAATAGGTTCCGGATTTAAGCTACACAAGTCGTTGTAAACATTTGAGGGTATTGTCTCTGGGAACCAGGATTTATTTTATAGAATAAGGTTTAATATCTTTAGGACCTATACAATTTTCATATCAAACATTTTGTGTTTTTCGACTCGCCCTAATGTACATATGTATGTATGTAGGTATGTTTGTTAGGGGCAAATCTTGCAATACATTTTTTACCAACTTCCCATTGACCTAGAGACTTGAAACTTCACAGGTGGCTCAGAAACCAATGACAATGAAATTCTAAAGATGAATCAATTCGATAGGTGCCGCAGCAATCGAGAAATATTGGAAAACCCGTATATATAGACCGATTTGGTTAATATTTAGAACGTATGTATGTATGTTAATCACATGAAAAGGAGCTACACAAAAAAATTGCCGATAGCTGGCGCAAGAGTTGAGATATTTGGTAAGCCAGTATTTATA